AAAGTCCTTTCAGCATCATTAGGCAGAGGGTCTGGTGTATGTTGAGTGGAGGGAGAGTCAGGGTTTAGTTACAAAACAAACTATGTACTGCAGTTTTGTTAGGTAACCAAGAAGCCTGAACTAATACAGCATATCAATAGGTGCGTTCTAAACTATGAAATTGCTTTTCAATATGCACCAGATTGTGTCCCTTTAATGAAGTAAGGTAGTTTCATGTACTACACAAGTCTATGTGGTTTTACAATACACTGTTTTTTTTTTTATAAAGGAAGTCAACAATATTGCAAGTGTGAAATGGGAAACTGATAAAATTGGGGGAACAGTGAAATTGACTACACAAAGTATTTTCAAATGTGCAAGTAAACTAACACTTAGTAAGTAAAATAATTCAGACAGAAGTGAAGCTTTCAAGTTTATGGTATCCATTCAGTTGTGATTATTTAAATATTTACCTTTTAAGCCAGTTTAACCATAACACTGGAACTGATTCACTAGCTTGAAATTTAAATACTAAGGCCTCAGTTCTACAACTGGATCTGCATGGATGGACCTTTGTGCCCATAGGGTATATCCTGTTGATTTCAGGCCTGCCCATGCAGCTCTGTCTGAAGAATCAGGGCCTTACTGTTTAGTTAAAATATAAGAATTGTTGGCAGAGAAGATTAAATATTTAAAGAAACATTTGTCAAATAAAAAAAAATTACACTTAGTTATAACACCTAACTCTATTATAAAACAGAGTAACAACCCTTTTCCAAATTATTTACTTTGGGCATCTGATTGACTATACAGAGTGCTAGCGATTTCCCTATTTGCCCCGATGTAGTTAGTTTCATCCTTCACACAGCGTTAGGGTAGAGAAACATTTTGGCTACTAACAAAATGATTGTAAAGCCACAAAAACTGGCAGCTCTACTCTTGAGTAGATGTACCCTAAAACTATTTTTAACTCAGCTCATTTAAAAAAAAATAATTTCAAGCTGACAGTGTCCCATTAACCTATATTACTGTCCATATCAACCCAGATTTGGATTTAATAATTTTATCTCTCACAAAAACTGAAGCTAGCTTAAAAGTGAACTACAAGGTGCTAACTTAGTGTGCCACAGAATTCTGCATCATGCCCAGACTGGATTTTGTTATAAGCCATAAATTTCTTTGCTCCTTGATTATGAGCTTCAGCCTAAACACCTGCAATTAAGTTCCAAGAAGCCATTAACCACCAGCCTATGTTTACTTGCAACATCCCGGTTTGGCTAATTTACAATATTATCAAATGTTGATTTTTAAAACAAGTTACTTCTAAAAGTTAATTGCACCTCTGAAAAGAGCTAATCAATGAGTCACAGAAAATAGTCTCTCAATGACTCCTTAAATAGATCACTTGTAAAGTGACCTTGGAGAAGTCAGTCTATCCAAAATAAAATAAAAGGCAATTAAAGGAAGGGTACAATTTTAGTTCATTTTAAAAGTGAACTGAAGTTAACTAAATACAGCTAAGTAACTGCCATCGGCAAGCAATCAGAATTAAAGTACGTAATTAACAACCAAGTTAAAAGCTAAAAGATCACAACTCTTTGTCAAGTAAGAAGTATTTTACCTTGCTTTATATCCAAGAGAGCGAGTGAGTGCTTTACCAAGCCTCCAGATGGTAAAGAGAGGCCACTGCATAGGTTATAGTCTTCCCAGTATATCTACAAATAGCATTACTGATTTTATCCACTGATTAATTCTCCACTTTTAAAACTTACGTTCCATATACAACATTCTTCTGACATATGAAAAACAAACTGCTATGCCCTGAACTAAAAATAACCAACAAAGCTCAACTGCAAGTCACCCAGCAACGCTCTTCATTACACTTTCACAAAACAATCTCCCTAAAACAAGTGTTCAGAGTACAATGAAAACAAAATTTCAGATTTAATGTCAGGAAATCCATTTTATTTCTGAAGTAACACAGCTCACCATAAACCATTAAGCTAATAAGCTAACAATCTGCTTTTGAGACGAGAGAAAGAAACATTTTAAATTGGACACACTTCAGGTAGCAAGCCAATAACAACTCATCCTTATAATCTGAACCTCTACTCAGATTCACTGCTACTCAGAACAGAGTTATGCCCTCAAAACTTGTTAGAATGACAATCCCCTTAATTATCTGAAGTTCTTCAATGTGCTCTGATAATTGAGACTATACTGTAAGGAAAAGGGCCATGCAAATCAAACATACAGAAGAAGTGACTCCTTGCCAATCTCTCTTCTACAATTCTATTATTTTGTGCATGTAGAAAAAACAGACTACTGCAGAGATTAGAGGTAAATCCATGGAGGAAAAAAACAAAACAAAAAAAATACCACCCACAAATACAGTTCAATTTGGAAAAATTTTACTTCGCAATCTTCTATATCTTAAGGGGTAGAGGGAGAGGAGCAAATTCAGTGAGCATGAGGAACCAGGAAATTTGCTATGGGAGATTTAGAGGTGATGGTGGACAGTGCATTCAACATGAATTTGCAGTCACATATGGCAGTGGTTCTCAAAACTTTTTTTTTTCCCCCGCAGACCACTTGAAAATTGCTGAGTGTCTTGGCAGACCACTTAAAGATCTTTCTAAATGTTGTTTATACTGTTAGCTAACTACGGAAAAGTGCTTTGGATAAAAATGCTATATAAAAAAACAATTTTTTGTTCTACAAATAAAAGCACACAATTCATATTTTAATATCAGTATCATCTTTCTAATGTGATGGATGTCCCCTTTCTCCTGTGCTGCAGCAGCCTCCGAGCTGGGGCTGGGAAGGAGGGGGTCTCTCCTCAGCAGCCGTAGCCCTGGAGCTGGGGAAAGTCACCTCTTTCTCTGTCCGCCACAGCGCTGCACATGCCAAATTCCCCCCCAACCCCTCTTCTCATCCCACTGCCCCCTCTCACCAACCCCTATTCTCCCCAAGGCCACCACCTCAGCTTACGTGCATCTTCTCCAGGGTCCAGGCACCTAACTAGTGGAGCCACACAAGTGTGGCTCCGCTAATTAGGTGGGTGGCCCTTCATTCTCTTGTGTGCAGCCACCCAGCTGCGCACCTTACAGGGAACTAGCCGCAGACCACCTGAATGGAGCTCACAGACCACAGTCTGAGCACCTCTGACATACGGCATTAAAAAGGCGGGAGCAATTTTGGACTGCATAGAGAGAAACATTACGTTTCACAAGCTAATAGCCCATCTATACAATCCTCGTGTAGCCATGTCTAGAATATAGTGTTCAGTTCTAGGCACCGCTTTACTAGAAAGATATCAACACACTGGAGGATATTCAGAGAAAAGTAACAAAAATGTTTTAGGAGGCTAGAGGGATTAATTTATGAGGAGTCTCTGAAGTGTTAGACAAGTATAGCTCAGGTTTCAGAGTGGCTCAGTGTCACCAAAGAGAGGACACAGGATGGGTGAAATCCCAATCCCACTGAACTCAATGGGAAGACACCCACTGACTTCAATGGGGTCAGGTCTTCAGATTAGTTTAATAGCGGGAAGTACACTTAGGAGTAACTAAAATAGGTTAAGTTTAGGCTGAAAATGAGGGAGGGCTTTCTACAGACAAGTTGGAATATCTGACGCTGAACAGAACAAAATACAACAAAAGGAATCTCTGGCAGAACATAGATTAGAAACATTTAGTAAATTTTTCACCTAGGTAAGTTTCTAAACTGATTGGTGAAGGCAACTGTTGATACTCTTGCTCTAATGTACACTTACTTTGTCCATTGCCTCTCAAGCCCTCACTTGTCATGAAGAGGTATGCAATGTTATTGTAGGGCAAGAATCATTTCCACCTAATATTCTTGATCGGTGGTAGATTGTAAATACCAACCTAAATGCTGATCTACTAAATTCCCAGACTGGTCATTTGTGATTATCTATTGTTTAAAACAGAGAAGTCCCAAAAGATTTTATTACTTGGAGTGAGATTTTATACAAGAGCTGTGACCAAGAAATGATGCTTTAAGAGTATCAAAAGAATTCCAGTTGCTGTACAATATCATTAATTAATTTCTGTATTGCAGTAGCTCCTAAAGGCCCGAGCCCCATTGTGCTGGGAACTATAGAAATAGAACAAGACGACTGTCCCAGCCCTGAAGATCTCACAATCCAATATTTTCATCGGATCTTACAAAAGCCACCCTCCTTAGATTCATAACTATATCCTGGTTTTGATTTTACTATTTCCAAAGTAAAGGAACATATGTCAGTGCAAAAATAAATTCAGTATTGGCATAAAACTAAACTGGATTTAGTCTTTGTTCCTAAACATGAAGCTCTGAATGGTCTAGACCTTGTTTATTTTGGGAACCATTCAGGAACTTTTTAGTAGTACCTGTGGTAGTCATTTCTTTGAGAGTTTGTTGGCCTTCACACAAGATGACATTTATTTAGGCAGACTTTTGCAAAAAATTCTTAAAGCTGGTGCAGATAAATCTAAAAGATAGCAAGTGCAGCCATTGTACTAAAACTACGGTGATCATTTAACCATACTATGTGGTTAGTACTATTACTTGACAGATACAAAAATAAGCTATAGAAATGGGTACCATCTATATAATGATATTCCAGGGTTATCACTTGTCTGTCTGTATGTCACTCTGAAGTCTACAATGTCTCCTGAGTCAGTGTGAAGGGATGGAAACAGCTACAAGCATGGTTGAGAGCTCACCAGGTTCAATCATCACTGGGATTCATGGTCTGTTACCATCCAATTTTCAAGTTCTCTGACATTTTGACTGTGTGGAGTACAGCTGCAGTAGGGCAGGTGTCCGTCACTCCAGATTGTGATATCACAGATAACTCAGCCAATCACCACCATTACTTTGCAGCTAATTTGCATGCAACAACTTAATTAGTTGTATGAGGGAGACTACACAGATGGGATTTACTTGGCCCAGCTGCCAGACCTGTGAAACAACATAGGCTTTCAACTACTAGAATATAAATAATTAGAGGAGGACAGTAAAGCTTCTTACTCCTCCACATCTGAGGGGGGGAAAAAAGGTAAAACCTAGTGATTAGATAGTTTAGGAGATTGGTAATAAGCTTTTCATTTCTATAGCACTGGTATGAATCAAGGAGTAACCAATGATTAGGTAGTGGCCAAAAGTTACTGCTTTCTGTTAGCTATCTGACAACACGTGACATGGGCTGAAAAACATTCTGGTGATATGCATTCCCATCACAAGGAAACTCACCAATCATAACTGGAAACATGGATAGCAGTCTCCACATGAAGGTCCAGGACTGAATGCTATATTTTAATATGCTCATCACCCTAGTATTTGGGAACACTACTAAATTAAGATATTATCCTCTTCTATTACTTTCTCAGTGATCAACTTCCAAAACAGCCCTGTTGTTCGCTGAACTCTTACTCATGTGGGTATTCACATTGATCTCAGTTTATTTTATTTCAAAAATTTAAAGAGGATGTTTGTCACATTTTATTTATTTTGTACAGCCTCCAGTATGTTTAAGAATGGCTCATTAAAAATGTGGAGTCAATGGGAACAGGATTTCCTAGGTCAACATAGAGGGTTACAGATTGATTATCTGAGCATATATTGGTCTAAAAATTAAGAAACCAGTTAAAATATTTTAGAGCAGAAGCAAGTGATCAGAGCAAGTGATTTAGCCTCTCTGTGACTCAGTGCCCGGTTTGGATGGTAACAGTAAATAGATAACAGTAACTTTCTGCCTCACAGCAGTGTTGTGAGGATAAATACATTAAAGATTGTGAAGCACAGAGACAATACAGTGATGGGGCCAGATAAGTGCCTTAGCTCAAGGTAATACCTGGACACTTCGTGTGTTAACTATTCAGAAACATAACATCACACCTCTTCTAAACTTATTTAGCTCTTCTGATTGTTTGACAATGTGGCTGTTCACATGCTAGAAAATGGAAGTCACAATTATATCATTATACTGGAGCTTTTCTTTAATATGAATCACGATCAAGGATGCATTGCTAAAATATGACCTACAGAATAATAAATTAATGTATGTGCTCTTAATCTGAGCACACATCCCTCATTTTCACCATTAGCTATTTTGTCAACTACTCTGGCTATCTTTATACATTTTCCATTTATGAAAAACGCAGTATTTCAGCCTTGCAATATCATAGGAGAATCATCATCCAGGCACAAAGTCTACTCACTGAGTGCCATGATAACTGAAATGAGAAAAGCTACTTTATTAAACTGTTGAGAAAAAAAAAAGAGAGAAGACGACTCACCCCAAGCAAGTTTTGCAAGGTTGATGTATTAAGGCAGCTTATGTAGTAAGGTTTAGGTGTCTGCACCTCTTTCCACCCGAGCTATTTCGTGAGTTTCCAAACGGTGTAACGTTTCTTATACTGAGAAGTCCAAAGGTAGCCGGGGTCACGTGATACCAGGGACAGGGTAAAATCTATCCTGGTTGCAGAAGCTGCGGAGCACAAGTTTATAATTTTTCAGCCACCAAACACAGTGCGAGCGATTGGAGAGTTCAGCATTACACCAGCCGGGGATGGCTCCCTGCAGCCGTTTCCTGCCAGTCCCTTTCCCCAGGCACTGCCCAGCTCGGACCCGCTTCTCGCCAGACTCCTTAGGGCTACGGAACCTACCGGGGTTCTGCTTCCTCCCAGCGCACCGGCCACCTCGGCCAAAGGCCGCGACCCTGCGCCGCGCCGAGAGCCCCCAGGCGCCGTCCCAGCGCAAGGTGCCGCTGTAAAGGCTCTAGGGAAACCGGCCCCAGCCTCAGAACCGCCTGAGGCAGCCCGCACCGGCCCGTCAGCGGGGCGGCCCTTTCCATCCACGCCCACCGGGCGGGGCAGCCGCGGCAGCCGCCTCCCCACCCAAGAGGGGCCGCTGAGCCCGGCGGCGACTCACCCACCAGCCCCACCCCGCCTAGGGGCAGCACCTCTGCCCCCTCCCCTCCCCCCTGGGGCAGCGGGACCCAGCCCTGCCCCTCGCTAACAGCCCGCTACCGGCCAGTGCCCACAGAGGCAGCCGGACACGGGCCGGCCTCCCGCCCAGCGCGAGCACTTGGACGCAGGAGACCCCGAACCCAGCCCTCACCCGCGAGACGCGGCCTCACCTGGCGGCTGAAGCAGAGACTCGGCTCCGAACGGGACTGGCAGAAAGCGGCGGCTGCTCCAGCTGCCTCGACACTTCCGGAGAGCGCGATCCAGACCGAACCACCGCCCGGCCAGCAGGGGGGGGGAGGGGACCCGGGCTACACCATCGGCGGGGAAAACGCGTCAGTCAGGCCCAGGGCGCCGCCGCCGCAGCGCATATACCAGGGAGGAGAGTGCGATTGCTCCGCAGTGAGCCTGCTGCTCACGACCCCCCGCCCGAGAGAGTTGGTTCGGACGGCACCCCCCCGGTGATGTGATGGTGCAGTCCCGTGCGCTCACCGCATTCCACCGTGCGGGGCGGAGCAGGGGAGAGGGAGATGCTGATGCCCTTGTAAGGGAATCGCAGGGCGTTTCCTGTTTGTCGCTGTTACGACACAGGCTTCCTACGAGTCCCGGGTGAGGCGGAAGTGTCCGCACCCCGAGCTGGAGGGAGGAGCTGAGGGCTCCCAGGCCGCGGCATAGACCCGCCCCGCCGGCTAGGGAAACAAGCAACAGTCCGGGGCGCTTGAGCAATATGCTGCCCGCCAGGGTTAGGGTGACCAGATGTCCCGATTTTATAGGGACAGTCCCGATTTTTGGGTCTTTTTCTTATATTGGATCCTATTACCCCCCACCCCATCTCGATTTTTCACACTTGCTGTCTGGTCACCCTAACCAGGGAGGCGGCTCCTCTTGCGGGCTCCTTGCGCAATTCTCATGGCCATGCAATGCTCGAACCCCCCAACTCCCATTTCTAAGGAGCCCGAGTCGCAACTGGCACCGAACCGCAGTGTCCTCGGATCCTAGCTACCAGAGACCACTTCCCCAACTGTCACCAACCACAGAGTGTTCCAGAATCCCAGCTACCATGGAAACCCCCCCCCACCTGTCACCCAGCCACAGTGTCCCAGAATCCCAGCTACCATGGAACCCCCACACATACCTGTCACCCAACCACAGAGTGTCCCAGGATTCCAGCTACCATGGAACCCCTCCTCCACATACCTGTCACCCAACTGCAGAGTGTCCCAGGATCCCAGGTGCCAGGGACTCCCTTAGCTGTCACCCAACTGCAGAGTGTCCCAGGATCCCAGCTGCCTGAGACCCCCAAACTGCACCGATCCCCATCTGCTGTTGGTAACTGGCTGAGGGACACAACTGTCATGCACAGCTCAGTATTTTCTTGGAGCCTCGCTCATAGTTTCATTAATTTGTTTCACTCACGCTGCTTCTCCCCCTTATTCTGGGGTTCTTTCTGCGAATGTGTCACCAAGGCATTCTTAACGGCATATACGCTGGTAGGAAATTAATTTCAAAGTGTGTGTCCATGGATTTTAACATTTTCATGCACAAAGTATTCACGCCAGAAGTGCGTGGAGCAGACCCAACACCACATGACTTGCCTGATCACTCAAACTAATCAATAGTGATTGAGTGTCAATCCATAGAGTGAAAACCATTTCATCAAGTTGAAATTTTTCATTTCTGATTACTTACATTACAGTAATGCTGGGATGCGCCAGTCCAGCTTGGGGCCCCATTGGATTAGGCATTGTTCATGCACGCAGTAAAGGGCTTGTCTACATGGGAAGTTATAGGAGTATACAGACAGTAAAGTGTGAATTTAAACCAATAGTTATGCTAGTGTAGCTGTGTGGGCATGTTATTCTGATATGAGTGCCTTTTACTGATTTAGGTTAGGTGTCTTTGAAAACAAGTTAAGATAAACCAGAAAAAGCCACTTATTCTAGACCAGGGGTAGGCAACCTATGGCACGTGTGCCAAAGGCGGCACACGGGCTGATTTTCAGTGGCACTCGCACTGCCCGGGTCCTGGCCACCGGTCCGGGGGGCTCTGCATTTTAATTTAATTTTAAATGAAGCTTCTTAAACATTTTAAAAACCTTATTTACTTTACATACAACAATAGTTTAGTTATATATTATAGACTTATAGAAAGAGACCTTCTAAAAATGTTAAAATGTATTACTGACACACAAAACCTTAAATTAGAGTGAATAAATGAAGACTTGGTACATCACTTCTGAAAGGTTGCCGACCCCTGACCCCTAGACTAAGGCCTGGTCTACACTACGAGTTTAGGTCGAATTTAGCAGCGTTAAATCGAATTAAGCCTGGGCACGTCCACACGACGAAGCCCTTTTTTTCGACTTAAAGGGCCCTTTAAACCGGTTTCTTTACTCCACCTCTGACGAGGGGATTAGCGCCAAAATCGGCCTTTGCAGGTCGAAATTGGGGTAGTGTGGACGGAATTCGACGCTATTGGCCTCCGGGAGCTTCATTGTGACCGCTCTGGACAGCACTCTCAACTCAGATGCACTGACCAGGTAGACAGGAAAAGCCCCGCGAACTTTTGAATTTCATTTCCTGTTTGCCCAGCGTGGAGAGCACAGGTGACCATGCAGAGCTCATCAGCACAGGTAACCATGATGAAGTCCCAGGATCGCAAAAGAGCTCCAGCATGGACCGAAAGGGAGGTACGGGATCTGCTCGCCATATGGGGAGAGGAATCAGTGCTAGCTGAACTCCGTAGCAGTAAACGAAATGGCAAAATATTAGAAAAAGTCTCAAAGGCCATGAAGGACAGAGGCCATAACAGGAACGCACAGCAGTGCCGCGTGAAAATTAAGGAGCTAAGGCAAGCCTACTACAAAGCCAGAGAGGCAAACGGAAGGTCCAGGGCAGAGCCGCAAACATGCCGCTTCTATGCCGAGCGGCATGCCATGCTAGGGGGTGCGGCCACCACTACCCCAACCGTGTGCTTTGACTCCATCAATGGAGAATCACGCAACAGGGAAGCGGGTTCGGGGTACGAGGAAGATGAGGATTAAATTAAATTAAATTAATGGAGATATCCCATCTCCTAGAACTGGAAAGGACCTTGAAAGGTCATTGAGTCTAGCCCCCTGCTTTCACTAGCAGGACTAAGTACTGATTTTGCCTCAGATCCCTAAGTGGCCCCCTCAAGGATTGAACTTACAACCCTGGGTTTAGCAGGCCAATGCTCAAACCACTGAGCTATCCCTCCCCCCCGATGAAGACAATGAAGATAGCTCACAGCAAGGAAGCGGAGAAACCGGTTTCCTCAACAGCCAGGATATGTTTATCACCCTGGACCTGGAACCAGTAACCCCCGAACTCACCCAAGGCGTGCTCCCAGACCCTGAGGGCACACAAGGGACCTCTGGTGAGTGTACCTTTGTAAATATTACACATGGTTTAAAAGCAAGCGTGTTTAATGATTAATGATTAATTTGCCCTGGCAATCGCGGCCAGTACAGCTACTGGAAAAGTCTGTTAACGTGTATGGGGATGGAGCGGAAATCCTCCAGGGACATCTCCAGAAAGCTCTCCTTCATGTACTCCCAAAGCCTTTGCAAAAGACTTCTGGGGAGGGCTGCCTTATCCCGTCCACCATGGTAGGACACTTTACCACACCAGGCCAGTAGCACGTAGTCTGGAATCATTGCATAACAAAGCATGGCAGCGTATGGTCCCGGTGTTTGCTGGCATGCAGACAACATCCATTCCTTATCTCTCTTTGTTATCCTCAGGAGAGTGATATCATTCATGGTCACCTGGTTGAAATGGGGTGATTTTATTAAGGGGACATTCAGAGGTTCCCGTTCCTGCTCGGCTGAACATAAATGTTCCCCGCTGTTAGCCACGCAGTGGGGGGGGGGGAGAGGGGATCATCCCAGAGAATTGGGGGGGGGTAGTTGGGTTTGTGCTGCATGTTAACCCAGAAACTGCAGCCCCTCCTTTTACATTGCAAACCCATTTTAAATGGCCAACCCAACGGGTGCTTGGTATGGGAAATGAGGGCGCTGCTGTTTGAAACCATTCCCACATGTTGTGAAGGTTAAAAAAGCCAAAAGACTGTGGCTTACCATGGCTGCCTGCAAGCCGAATTCTGTTGCCTGGCACTGCGTGAGTGATCTCTCACACCAAACCGGCAGGCCCTCAAAATGCGACCTTGTAACGAAAGCACATGTGCTGTGTAATGTGAACAGCAAAATTTAATGTGAAAGAGTGTACCCATTGTTCTCTAAAATGTGTCTTTTTTAACCACCTCTCCCTTCTCCTCCACCAGCTGCAAATGTTTCTCCTTCGCAGAGGCTAGTGAAGATTAGAAGGAGAAAACGGTGGACTCAGGATGATATGTTCTCGGAGCTCCAGATGTCCTCCCACGCTGACAGAGCACAGCAGAATGCGTGGTGGCAGTCAATGTCAGAGTGCAAAAAAGGACAATATGAACGAGAGGAGAGGTGGTGGGCTGAATTGCGGGCTGAAGAGAGCAAGTGGCGGGCTGAAGAGGCTAGGTGGTGTCAGCTTGCTGACAGAAGGCAAGAGTCAATGCTCCGGCTGCTGGAGCATCAAACTGATATGCTCTCTTTAAATATATCAGAGGGATAAATACCAGGGAGGGAGAGGAATTATTTCAGCTCAGTACTAATGTGGACATGAGAACAAATGGATATAAACTGGCTGTGGGGAAGTTTAGGCTTGAAATTAGACGAAGGTTTCTAACCATCAGAGGGGTGAAATTTTGGAACAGCCTTCCGAGGGAAACAGTGGGGGCAAAAGACCTCTCTGGCTTTAAGATTAGGCTAGATAAGTTTATGGAGGGAATGGTTTGATGGGATAACGTGATTTTAGTCAATTAGGCAATAACGTGCCATCGCTGGTAAAATGAGGGTCCGGCTGGAGAATCTTGCCTGTATGCTCGGGGTCCTACTGATCGCCATATTTGGGGTCGGGAAGGAATTTTCCTCCAGGGTAGATCGGCAGAGGCCCTGGAGGTTTTTCGCCTTCCTCCGCAGCATGGGGCAGGGGTCCCAAGCTGGAGGATTCTCTGCGACTTGAAGTCTTTAAATCACGATCTGGAGACTTCAACAGCTGAGTTAAGGGAAAGTGGGTGGGTCAGCTTTTGTGGCCTGCATCATGCGGGAGGTCAGACTAGATGACCATAATGGTCCCTTCTGACCTTAAAGTCTATGAGTCTATGAGTCTATGATATGCTCCAGCATATGGTTGAGCTGCAGGAAAGGCAGCAGGAGCAGAGACCGCCGCTACAGCCCCT